TCCTTTTTATTTTTTTAAGACAGGGTCTCACTAACTTGCTGAGGTTGGCCTCCAACTTGTGGTCCTTCTGCCTCAGCCTTCCCAGGAGCTGGGATTACAGGTGTGCCCCACCACGCCCAGCTTTGTTCTCTGTTTTCTTAAAGATTGGGTCGAGGACCCAGTGGGTGAGGCAGAGGGGAAGAAATCCCAGGAGTTGATACAGGATGACTGGGGAAAGGCTTCCCAGAAGGGATCATTCAAGAGTGACAGGGCTAGAACAGAGGGAAACTAGGTGACTCCTCTCTTATGAGGTCACCTTCCCCAGGGCCTACACAAATTCTCCGTTGGTGTCTGTGTCCAAGATGGAACTCCTGAGCTATCAGCAGATGAAAAGGAATGGGGGGGTGTGCGCGGTCTTGGGCAACCTTGCCGACTTGTGATCCTGTGGCACACCAGGTGGCCCCGTGGGAAGCACTGCCCTGGTGTGGTAACTCTGTCCTAGAGTAAGCCCCTTGGCCTTCTGGGCCGACTTCCTCAGCTGTGACATGGGTCTCCTGAGTGTCTTCTGCCTGCCATCAGGGACTGTTCCAGATAGATAAGGCTCTGCTCCCATGGAACTCACGTCTAATTGGAGAAGACAGACCATAAACAAGTAGGTAAATGAGTTAATTTTCGTTGGTGATAAGTGCTGTGAGGAAAATTAGAACACGGTAATGTAATGGCAAGTCACCAGGGTGGCTACTTTAGAGGAGAGTTAATCTCTTGGGTTGTTAGGAGAATTCAGTGCATTTACGTGAGAAATGTGCTTAGCCTAGAGCCTGCCAGAGAATAATCTCTCAGCAAATAATAGCCATCATCACATCATCATCCTGGATCCTCCAAGTGAGAGTAAAGGGGAGACTGCCCGAGGTTCTTAGGTTATCACTACCCGCAAGCCTCCTGTCTGTGAACCAGGTTCTGTGTCAAAGACAAAAGAGAGCTAATAACCCCTTGCCTCAGCTTTCACATCCATTATCTTGTGGGGCCTCCCAACACACATGGCGTATTATTATTCCTACTTTAAAGACCTGGAAATAGACAACAGAGACATTAGGTGACCTGTATCTGGCCTGAGAACTCCACAACTAGCTGCTTTTCCACCAAGGGATGCAGGAGAGAGTCCAAAACAATAAACTTGCACGGCACCCATCCATCATTTTAACAAGGATTTTTCAAGTAACTGCTAAGTGCCAGACCCTGTCCTAGGCAAACTGGAGACAGGGGTCAGCAAGGGTGCACTTTAACGACCGTCAGGACCACCAAAACCAAAGAGTCGATATCAGAGAGGCAAAGAAGGCTCAGAAGGAAAAGAAGCCAGAGGACTTCCGACCTGCCCAAACCCTGGGGAGTGACAGAGGCTTACTGAGGAAGGGGTGGAGGGGAAGAGG